TTAGCAATGTTCAGCAACAGCCAGGAAGGTTAGCTCAGAGACTGAATGCATTTCACCAAGTTAGGTACTTTAGTGGAAAAAGAGTTGATATTTAGAAGGGTCAGATTAAATGAGTTGAAGGGGCTTTTTTATCTAAGTTCTGACTTCTTATGTGAAAATCAATGTATACCTTCAGAATGATCCTTAGTCATCTTGTCGTGTTTGTTGTTATTTAGCTTTGAAAACCACGCTGAAGCCATTTCCTTTTGATGGAAATGTATATCACATACGAGCGCAAGTGAAATTTTCAGGTATTTACACTTTGCGATATTTGTAAAATTCATTGTTGAAATTGACCTCTATATTGTACATATATTACTATCTTCTAAGATGGCAGGCATGTTTTTAAACCAGCAGGAATGTCTAATATGTAATATTTACGACATTGAAAAAGTGTATGCATGATACGTTTTCAATGCTATTCGGAATGGGCCATCTAGCTTGTAAAACCAGTTTTGCATTTTGTTAAATCATACCTGATCTGTCACGCAACTCAATTGATTCAACTTCCTTCCATGCCTTATCGGACCAAAATCTGTCAGCCTTGATCATCAAAATTTCAATTGCTCCAGCGAACACATTTGTGGGGACTTCAAAATATCCATTTCTAGCTTCCTGATTTCACTATGAAGTATTAATGCAACATTTAAAAATATGCCCTCTTGTTATAGATTCTGCAATGAGTTGTTGAGGGAGACCTAATGAGTTGCTGCAGTGCATCTTGCATGTGGTGTGTATGCTGCCACTGTAACTGTCGTGGAGGGAGTGAAGGTCTAAGTTGATGCAGAGTGTACTAATGAAGCAGATTGCTTTGTTTTAAATGGTGTTCAGCCTCTTCAATGATGTTGGAGCCATTCTTATCCAAGCAAATGGAGAGTATTTCATCATATACCTGACTTTTGCCTTGTTAGTGGTGAGCAGCTTATGGAGAGTGTTATGACCAAGTTAGTATGGAAGAATTGATTTTATTCCATGCCCCATTCTTCCACTGATCACAACAAATTTTGAATTTGAAGGAGGAGGTGATTATTGCTGGTAATTTATATAGCCTTTATCGGAAACAGGTCAGCCAGGTTCCTTTTGTTTAAAAAAAGAACTAATTTATTGCAAAGGAAACTAACTGAAGCGAAGACTTCTCTTTTTGACAAAGGAAACACACACACACACACACAACCCTAAGATCTGGGGGAAGAGTGTTATCTTAAACTTTGGCTAATTACACTTCAGGAAAAAAAAAGATTATTCACAGATTGTCCATATTTTGGTCTGTAGCCAAAATCAAATTACACATAAGGTGGTAATGCCAGAGTGCCCTCCTGGGTCATTATGGTTGGCTGACCTACCTTTTCAGGAATTACTGACGTGCATTTCAAATTCTCCTTTTAGAATCCTCTATTTGTAGTGACTACGTCTTTCAGTAGGTTTTCAACTCTGAAATGTTGATGCAAAAATAGGGGGGCAAAGGCTGTTGCTTGAGATGATTTATCTCCCTGATTGTGTTCAAATCTACTATCTTTTATTCTACTCACATATTAGGTCATTGACACCTTTCTGAAAGTGTTGTACACTTATCCAAGCGGCTTGTGTTTTGCAAATGCAACATTGCAGTCGCTAGTTTTTTGTTTGAAAAGTTCTCGTAAATATTGGTGTTGTCTATTATATTATAAATTGGTATTTAGGGTAACACGGTTTTACAACATGATTGAGGAGATATGTGATATGCTGCAGACTATACTCCAACTACTTCCCTCAGACTTTGTTCAGCATTTTAACTTGCTGAGGCAAGTTGATCTTTATAGTTATACCTTTCTAATCTGAAAATGTTTTATGTTATTAATCAGCCCTTTATGCATGTTTATATTATTCCCAATTAAATGAGCCCTAATTTTATGTAATGACAACTTTTGTGAGGTTCTATTGAATGTTTTTGAAAATGTGAATATGTTCTGTCCACTGGTGCCGCAGAATTTCTCCTATTTGTTGAATTATCAGACATCATTTCTCTTTCATAAAGTTAACTCTGATTTATCTCTGTTCTTTTATGGGATAGGGGCATTGTTGGCATTTGTTGTCCATCCCTTGCTGCCTTTGAACGATTTTGTTTTCTCGGCCATTTCAGAAGGCAGTTGAATTGATCCCATTGTTGTGGGTCTGGTGCGCACGTAGGCCAGATGAGGCAAGGACAGCAGACTTCCTTTTGCTAGAGAACATTTGTCAACCAGATGGAGTTCTACAACAAATGAGAATGGTTTCGTGGTACCATTAAGGGGGAGGCGATGGCCAAGTGGTATTATTGCTGGTCTGTTAATCCAGAGACCCGAGTTCAAATCCCGCAATGGCAAATGGTAGAATTTGAATTCAATAAATATCTGGAATTCAGAATCTAATGATGACCGTGAATTTATTGTCGATTGTCCGAAAAACCCAGGTGGTCACTAATGTCCTTTAGAGAAGGAAACTGCCATCCTTACCTGGTCTGGGCTACATGTGACTCAGACCCACATCAATGTGGCTGACTTTTAACTGCCTTCTGGGACGGGCCATAAATGCTGCCTAGCCAGCAATGCCCTCATTCCAATGAATGAATAAAGAAAAAAAAATTAACACTGGCTTTTTTAATTCCAGATTTTATATAGTCACATTCCACCTCTTTCTGCACTGAGGATTCTGTGATTCAATGAAAAAAATGTCAGATTTTTTTTTTTAAAAACCATTAGCAAGAGAAGATTGATCACTGAAATGTTTCTGAAAGTCCTCTCAACAATTTTCCATTACATCCTTGCAGCTTGCCATTGAACCTGAGGCCTGGAAGTAATTTGAAAGCTCAGCGCCTTGTCTGCATTGTTGTAGTATTCATCAAGTACAGAAGAAAGATAACTTTTTCTGAATGATGGCTATCTGTAACATTATAGGTCACATGCCTTTTGAAAGCTTTTACAATGTTTTTAGTCATATTTTAGCATCATTTTTTGTAAATGATTATCTTACTTTTTAACTGTGCCTCACAGATTCTGAGAAAAAAGTTGAAGTTTACCACAACACCCAGACTAATATGTTCAGCATGGTCTCCTTACAAGATAGCCCTTCTCCACCTCCTTTACAAGGTGATGGGAAGACCAATGGGCGCAAGCTTGACAGCTTTGTCGTATTCATCGGTTGCATGCTGAAAGAAGAGACCATGAAAGATTGGCTGCGACAGTGTGCGAGCCAGGTAGAGTTTTAGAATGGAAACCTGCTAAATATATTCAAATTCTTGTGAACATATCTTTTTAATTCTTTATATTATAGCTGCATTACTGTATTGTGAACATCTGAATTTGGAGCAAAAAGGTTTGGCCCATCAAGCCTACTCTGCTATTCAATCTGCTCATCTGATTGTGGCCTCAACTTCAAATCCCTGTCTTCTCCTGATATCCTTTAACAATATTGTTAGTCAAGAATCAGTCTACTGTATAACTTATCTAAAAAAAAATTATATCCCTACCTCTGAGAAAGTGAGTTGCATCGATTCATGACCCCTAAAAGAAAAGCTTTCTCCTCATCTCCTGTTATTTTTACACTGGAAGACTCCTTATTTTTGCACTGAGTCCCTTTGTTCTGGTCTCACCCGTATGGGGAAATATCATTTCAGCATTTTTCAACTGCAACAGATTTATGCCATTTTATACCTGTTCTGTATTGGATACTTTTTTTAATTAAAATCATTATTTTTTAAAATTAGAGTGCTGTGAATATATTGCCATTGTCAATCTTGTTTTCTAGAAACTTCAGAAGAAACCTCTCAAGACATTTGACACCCTCACCAAACAAGAAATAAAGAATGTCCATGTAAGTAATCTGTCAATTGATTTGATAACTTGTGTTTCATTGTACAGGAGTAAAATCAGAATGTAATGAAACCTGAGCCTGTTGAGTATGATTTGCATTACTTGAAAGAAATAATTGAGGCAGTTAAATGGCAGAGCATGCTGATGTACAATTGCTCTATACATTCTTGAATGATTTTTATGGGAGAAAGGTGTTGAGTCAAGATGTTTTACAACTCATGGAACGGAATTTGGTGATCTATTGAATAATGACCAGTTGCAGAATACTATGACTAGGTAAGCATCACCTCCCTGTTATCTTTTAGGATCTTCTAGTTCAAAAGGAGGCCATTTGGCCAGGCCTGCCTATGTGGCTTTTTGTTTATACTTGTGAAACCTCCTTGACCGTAATCATTGACAATAATACAGGTGCAGCCTGCAGCTTTGAGATTTCCATTTCTGTCAGATTTCACTAATTGTCGTCAGCATTAACATAAATCAAAGTTGGCTGCCAGGACATAGGTGTGTCAATCATCAGTCACCTGGACAGCTTCCCACACATCATAATAAATGTATACAAATTTTAGCACTTCCTAACATATGCAGTGTTACCATCCATGATAATGCCTGTTTATGCCATGGAGGTTGCCATTTCCTGCCGGAACAAATTTGCAGACAAGATGGCAGAGAGGAATAAAATAAATGAACAAAAATAAAACTGTAGATGCTAAGCATCTGAAACAAAAACCGACATTGCTAGAGAAACACAGCAGGTCTGCCATTCTGAAGAAGGGTCACAGGACCTAAAACATTGACTCTGCTTTCTCTCCACAGATGCGGGATAAAAATGAATGTGGGTAGGATTTAGCCCATACCTCTATAGAGGAGTCAGAATTTTCCATGCTTAAGCAAGGCAAGGAATCACATTCTTTAAGTCTGGCACTCCGATTATTTGGTCATCCTGACAACTTTACAGTGTTACTCCCAAGTATCGAATTGGGGAGCTTGGTATGTGAGGCAAAAATGATAACCAGTCCACTACAGAAACAATGTGCCACAAAGTCCAGTTCAGTCCACTCTCAGCTTTTTCCCCTATATCTCCGAGTATCTGTTTTTCCTTTTCTTTTGGAGTCTAATTACATAGGCCTGCTGCTGTTGTGATTAATATTTTTCTACATCACCAAATATTTTCCTTAAACTTTGAAAATGTACTCCCCATGTTAGAGGCTATCTGTCATGTTTCAATTTCAATAAATCTTTAGACTTCACTACGAAGAGTTGAGTGCATGTAGATTGGAAATCAAAATACTAAATGTTCACGATATGAAACAGTGAAGGGCACTTTCTTTTCATTCTTGGTTGTTAACCCTACAGATAAAACGGCATTTGGAGTTACCTCCACCTGGATGGTTTTACAACGGAAGCCAGTTTGTTAACTTCTTTGGTGAAAAGAGTGATTATCACCCATGTATCCTTTCAAGTTCGTACTTTAAAAGTAGCAATTTTCTTGTGGTTGATATATCTGAATGGCTTGCTTCGGCAATTTTAGAGTTACATTGCTCTGACTCGGGAATTTCGTGTACAGGACATTAGTGAGCCAGATTTTCTTTTAATCTCAATCACAGTGGCTTCAAGGTTATCATGAGACTTTTAATTACAACTTTATATTGAATTCAAATTCTGCCACCTGCTGCAGTGGGGCTTGAACCGAGGAGGCAGAGGATGGTGGTGGAGTGTTGCTTTTCGGACTGGAGGCCTGTGACCAGTGATGTGCTGTAATGATCGGTGCAAGGTCCACTGCTTTTTGTCATTTATATAAATGACTTGGATGTGAATATAGGAGGCATGGGTAGTAAGTTTGCAGATGACACCAAAATTGGTAGTGTGATGGACAATGAAGAAGGCTATCTCAGAGTAAAATGGGACCTTGATCAGATGGGCCGATGAGTGGTAGATGGAGTTTAATTTAGAATAATGTCAAGTGTTGCATTTTGGTAAGGCAAATCAAGGCAGGACTTGTACACTTAACGGTAGGGTCCTTGGAGTGTTGTTGAGCAAAGAGACCATGGAGTGCGGGTTCATAGTCAGAATAAAAACAAAAGTTGCTGGAAAAGCTCAGCAGTTCTGAGGAAGGGCCGCCGGACGCAAAATGTTAACTCTGATATTCTCCTCACAGATGCTGCCTGACCTGAGTTTTTCCAGCAGCTTTTGTTTTTCCTTCCTGATTTACAGTATCCGCGGTTCTTTTGTTTTCTTTTCCGGTTCATAGTTCCTTGAAGATGGAGTTGCAGGTTGACAGGGTAGTGAAGGAGGTGTTTGGTACGCTTGCTTCTGTTGGCCAGTGCATTGATTATAGGAGTTGGGATGTCATACTATGGCTGTACAAGACATTGGTTAGGCCACTTTTGGAATACTGCATGCAATTCTGGTCTCCCTGCTGCAGGAAAGATGTTGTGAAACTTGGAAGGGTGCAGAAAAGATTTACAAGGATGTTGTCAGCTTTGGAGGGTTTGAGCTATATGGAGAGGCTGAATAGGCGGGGCTATTTTCCTTGGAGCGTCGGAAACTGAGGGGTGACCTTATAGAGGTTTACAAAATCATGAGGGACATGGTTAGGGTGAATAGTGAAGGTCTTTTTCCCAGGGTAGGGGAGTCCAAAACTAGAGGGCATATGTTTAAAGTGAGAGGGAAAAGATTTAAAAGGGACCTTAGGGGCAACTTTTTTTCATGCAGAGGTTGGTGGGTGTATGGAATGAGCTGCCAGAGGAAATGGTGGAGGCTAGTACAATTACAACATTTTAAAAAGGCATCTGAAAGGGTAGTTGAATAGGAAGGGTTTTGAGGAATATGGGCAAAATACTGGCAAATGGGACTAGAATAATTTAAGATATTAGGTCAGCATGGACAATTTGGACCGAACGGTCTGTTTCCATGCTGTACAACTCCATGACTCTATAACTTGAACTGGAACTTCAGAACACTACTTGGGTTTCTGGATTACGAGTCCGGCAATAATACAACTAGGCATCATTTCCCCTCAATCTGGAACTCGTCCTTCATCCCCTCAATGGTGTTATTAGTGTATTTACAGAAATTGGACTGCAGCGATTCAAGAAGGCATTTCACTGACTTCTCAAGTCAACTAGAGATAGAAAATGAATGCTGGCTTATTGCCTACATCCTGTGGGTGAATTTAAAAAATATATCCTTTTGGTTTGAGGTTACTAAATGGGGGCTTCAAAGTTTTTTTGTAAATACTCGATAATTTAAACTTCTTCGGAAACTTTCTGACTTGCGATCTTTTGGTTCAATTTTTGTGATTATTTCAACTACATTTTCAGTGATTGTGTTTGGGACCATTAAACACCGAGGAGATAGATAAATGGGATTTAGTACAAATTAGGACATGGACAGCAGAATTTTAAATGACCCAGGTTTGAGAGAGGATAATGCGAGGGAATACATGGGTATGCGTTTCATTAGCAAGGTGAATTCAGCTCATGTTACAGAGGTAGAAGTAGGCGGCTTTGTGACTGTAAGTGCTAAAAAAAAAAAAAGTGCATTTTGGAGTCATAGAAACAACCAATAATAAAAGTGGCTTCCAGTGGCCCTCACATAGAAAAATAATTAAATCTGACAGTGAGAAGCTGTCTTCTTAGAACGCAGACCAGTTCGATTTTTGCTTTCTTAGTATCAGCTGTCTACATAGAACAGGAGTATATACAGAGTAAAACAGTTGTTTATTTCTTGTCAGTAAAATTTATTGTTAAATAATCGTGCACTGGAATACATTACTGTTTGTCAGTCTTTTTAGGAAAGTGCGAACTTAACTAATAGATAAACTTGTATTAAAATAGGTATACGATTCTCTTGTCTTTAGTGAGTTCACTTTACATTATTTCTGAGTTAGTTAATGGCAGGTGTTAAAATGCAGGCATTTTGAGTAAGCCTGTTCATGGTTTACAAAGGTACCGGTGAAGGCTTAGCTGGCAGCACAGTTGCACATTTCTAGGTTTAGGTCCTGCACTAGAGCTGAAGAGTGTAAGTCAAAGCTGACCTTCAATTGTAATGGCGAGGGAGCACTGCACTATAGAAGTTGGCATATTGCCAGCAATGTTTCTTCATTTTGGTTGTGTGTAAAAAAAAAAAAAAAAAAAAAAAAAATTCCTGTGGTACAGTTTTGAAGCAGTGTGTGGAAGTTATCCAGTGTCCTGGCTGTTGATTATCATCACAAAAACTAATATGGTTATTATTGCATTGCTGTTTGTGGGAGCATGTTGAGTAAACATTTCCTACGTTATAAAAATGAGTATGCTTCAAGAAATACTGTAAAGGTAGTAGAGCACTTTGAGATGTATGGTATTTGTCAAAATATTAAATGCATGTCTTGCTCTGTCTCTCTTCGTGTTAGTTTGTCTCCCATTGTCTGCCAGTCCAGCTCGTTCCCTCCCTCCCAATGTGCCCACTTTGCTTGCTCACTCCATGTGTACGTTCCTCACTTGCACACTCCATGTGTACGCTCCTCGTTTGTTGTCTTCTCTACACACACGTTTCACTTGGTCCCTCATGCACACACGCTTCACTTGCTCCCACCCTCCTTCCCCAACGTGTGCACCTCTCTCGCTCCCCTTCCCTCTCCTCTTCGCACCTCCCACGCCCTCCCCTTCTGCCCACCTCCCTTGACACATGGCCCATGCGCCTCTTGCTCACTCTTTGTGTGTGTCTCTGTCATATTAGCCTATGTAAAATTCAAATGTAAATGATGAATTGCAATTAAAGTTTTCATAATTAGATGGAAATATTTGAGATCCATGGACAAACAATTTTAATTGCAGTTCTTGTAAGAAGATCATGTAGTGAGCAATTGACTTTCCTTAAATCTGTAAAATCAGTAATGAATACATTCATAGAAGAATATCTGTCAGAAGTCAACAAAGAGATTGAGAAATACAACAGTGAAATTGAAAAACAAGAGTGTGTAGATCTGTTTGAGCCATAATTCTGGTGTCCACCCAAGTCCTTGATCTGATATGCTTTGAATTAGATTGGGACAACAGGTTACATTTGATCAACAAATTGCCTGAAGCTGGATTAAGCTGGTAACAAGGCAGAACTTGCAAAATAAAAATCAAGTAAAAAGCATGTAAGAATTTACTAATGTTAACTATATTCAAATGCAACAGGTGGAATTCTAATTTCTCATTGTTGACTTAGTTGACCCTAGTCATGGATGTTAGAACAGTAGTTACACAGAACGTTTTGTTTTGCTTGTTGGGTCTGCTCCAACACAATTCCCAGTTGGTTTATTTAACTAGACAATTTTTAACATGGAAAAACTCAAAGCTTGACACTTTATAAATCTTCCCAGATCCTGAAGTAGATATGTCCTGTCCCAGGTTATTTGTGAATTTGCTATTTGTGAAAGGACACACTGTACACGACTTCAGGTTGGAATGTTAAGCAAATATACCTGCACAAGTTCACTACAGAGGATCGCATGTCAGAATAAAAGCAAAATACTGCTGCAAATTTGAAGCCTACAGTGCTGGAGAAACTCAGCAAGTCTGGCAGCATCTATGGAGACAGAAACAGAGTTAATGTTTTAAATTTGGTATGACTGTAGCGTTCTGAAGTAGTCATGTTGGATTGAAATATTAACTGTTTATCTCTGTCCATAGACGTTGCCAGACCTGCTGGGTTTCTCTAGCATTCTGTGTTTGTTACAGTATGACAGAACTTCTTGCAAATCAACATGCAAGAAGAATTTTAGTTTTATAAGCTGCTAATTCCACCAAGCCAATGACAATCTAGATTTAATCAATTTTTTTTGTCACAAGATTCAATCTGCCTGTAAGCCCTGGACTTTATATATTTTTTAATTGTTTCATAGTTAACGGTTTACTTCTTCGTTTAGTTATTCCCTAGAATTGATCTATGCAATTTTGTATAAAGGTCCTTTACTATAAATTTGATCTGTGCAAACATTAGCAAAGTTATAAGTGGGTACACAGTTGTGGTGTCTCACTGAATGTGTAACAATTAATCACTGGTTATACATTTAGATTAATTTCTGGCACTAAATGTAAATTCTACACAACAAATAACATCTATGTACAGTAACATAATTTCCATAAAGAAGGTATATTGATATAGAGTATTAAGTTTGTGTGAACTTGAAAATTTATCCCAGAGAAAGATATAGTATTTATGTTTCTCTTCCTTAATTTCTCCTGTCTCTTCAACCCCACCATTGTGTTCAGTCCATCATTAGCTTGTGGGCAGAAGTTATTTGGATCTTTGGAAAAACAAATGCAAGTTTGGGGCAAAGAGTGTTGCCTTATGTGCAGGGAATGATTGCCAGATTTTTAATGCTGCATAGGAACCCACTCACTCTTGAATACACGCCGTTTTTTTCATTCATTACTCCAAGCTGTCCTTAGTTACCAAGATTTCTGGAATTAGAAAAGTAAGAGATCTGTAATTTTCCTGGTGGTATCTTTTCTATAAGTGATTTTCTATCTTTATGCAATGCTGTATTAACCTGCAAAGGAGTGAAAGTAAGGGTTTTGAATCTGCTATATGCAGGAAAAAGAAATCTGCATTAGAAATTTTGAAGCAATCAGGTGTTACTGAGTAGTTGGATTGGTGGAATAACAATTTTTGCAAAGTAAACTGAAACATTTGCACTTATTCTGTTTTTTTTTCTGCAAACAAATATTAATGATAGTATGGAGAATTAAACTTACAGCCTCTGTAGTGGAAGACTGTTCAGGTTAATTTGTTTACTGATTCCACATTTTCACTACTTCTGGAAAATTGTGAAGAACAAACTTTGTTTTGCTGCACTTTGAACTTTAAGGCCTATCTAAGTGAGTTTGATAATTACTGTGTAAAGCCTTGGTTCCTACTGTTTGGGCGTTCCTAAAAATAAGTCCTTAGTCTTCGCTAAACAAAATTTGTGGCATCCGTGTGCAGAACGTCTGAAAATACTCGAGTACTAAAGCCACTTAGCAGGTAAATAATGTTAGCCACATTGTTTAGCATAATTTTTCTGCAACAATGGTTTTATTCCTCAAGGACTTGGCTCAACTGTACTCTTCTACGTTTTAATTATAACTATACAAGAAGACAGACCTTTGGTTTTGTATACCAAAAGTTTTATTACAAGAAAGTAAGATGATAAACATCAATCATTTGTTTAAGCTCTGTAAAGTAGAAAACACAACGTGCTGAGGTATTGCTCAGCTTACGTACAGTTAATGTACTTCCAATTAAGGTAGTGTAGGGTCTATCTCTTTGGATACCAAGTTTTCTTTCTTCTGTAAAATTAGCCACACAACGAATAAGTAACTTTTTTATATTCCATTTGGTTATATAAAAGGAAAGAGAGGGTTTTCCAGAATTCAGTGTGCTCATGCTTTTGCATGTTGTTCTTGGATTCTTCTACCATCTAGCTATGCATGTGACTTGCCTTTATGCATGAAAAACCGTGTATGATGCAAAAGGGTAAATTAACCAGTAGGTACATTCAAGGGGGTGGCTGTTGGTAAATTGAAATGCTGCCATTTACTTTTACAGTGGTGCCTTTGTAAAATGCATGACTGGGTCACCAATCATCAAATACCATTGATTTTCTTGCAGCGTGAAGACTTTTTTAACATCACTTTATCACATTGATGAAAAAGCAGGGGGTTGATATAACCAAACTAATTTGCTCCTTAAATATCTTGTTGATTCAAGAGAATGAAATTTGAGTATTTCACAAGGGTCAAAGTTATGATTTGAGGTGTGCAACCAGCAACTTGATTCCAAAATTCAGTAACCTTAAATTTATAATTGACTCCCTTTATTGTAGAAGATGGTTTTCATTTGCTAGATGAAAATTATTGTTAGAAAGTCTTCCTTCATGTCTTAAGTTGTAGTGTGGCACAGTTCTTTCAGTAGTAGTCAAATTTTAATATGGGTGAAAATTTCATTTCAGTAACAAAATTTGTGTTCCACTTATCTGTGATCAATGTTAAATTTTAACTGATGAGATGGTTACATACTGATTGCCAATGCTTGCAGTCAACACCTCAGGTACTTTTCATGTTTTGCTGTAGTCATGGTGGGGTGATTAGGAAAGCATTTACCTACATCACTAGCTATATATGGAGCAACGTAATTGAACTTAAATGGAAAACTAAGTCAAAGGAACATCTTTTGACAAGTTTATAAGTCTAATGAGTAAATGGCAGTTAGATACATTTAGCTGACAAAGCAATTAATATCTGTAATAGAAAAGTAGAAAACAATAGAAATGCTTTGGAGCCTTCCCCGAAAGTAGTTTTTAACAGCTATGCTGTGTGAGATCCTGGTAGGTCTGAGTGTTTGTTTACCAGTATAACCTCACAACTAATGTTAAGACGCTAGTACGGCAAATAAATAGTTTTTGTGTGTCCAAACATAGAGTTGTGATGGACGACATGAACCGTTTTAGAATAAGTTGTTTATATCTGAGATAGAAACAACAGTGCCTAAACATTATACCAGCTCTGTAATGTTTTCTAGCTGGAGCTGTGTTTAAACTCAGTGAGCTGGTTTACTGCTGGCTGCTGAACATTGATTTGGGGGTTAACTTGAAAGTAAGTTATTGTGCTGCACTGTCATAAAGTCTCTCTCAAAGATATCATGCTTTAATATATAAAGAAAAACTAAAATTGTGCCTTGCAGTAATAAAGGCATGTGGCCAGTTTATGTTCATCAATTTTAAAATTGTGCTGTCATATTACAGGGTTTTGCAAATGTCGTCCATCATAATCTATGATTAAGTTAAGCTACTTTAATATTACTAAGATGAAGTTCATTTTGGCTGCATTAAAATGTTAGTTTAACATCAGTGACTTCTGTGATTATAGAGCCAGGAACATAGTTAATATAGATGTGGCCAGCCATTGTATTTGTATTGCACATTGAAAAGAATAGATTCACTGTGAAATTGATCCAGTGTGGCATCCAGATGGCCTTAGCCCTTTCACCAGTTAATTCTCTGCCATTGGATCCTCAAAGATTCTGTCAGTCTTATTGATATTAGTTTGGGCTGTGCTGATTTTTGGCAAGTGTTTTGCTGCTATATTACCCTGGATTAAACTAAAATAAAATATGTTGGAGAATATTATGCAATCATAATTTCTTACACTGCTAGAAGTACAAGTTATTTAATTGTAAGCGACCTAACTGGTGGCTTATTAATTCTCTTGTTATAAAAGAATCTGGAATGTGAATCACTTCTGGAGTTTAGAAAAAACAACATGTTGTGTACGTTTTGTCAAATCAAATCATACTAGCAGTATATGGTACCGTAACATTTGCAAGTTCAACTCAGAATATGAGAAATCCATATTTTGAATTTACTTGTAAAATTGTCTTCATGCCAAAATTCAGCAGGTTGTTGGTATAAATCATAGTGATGGATTATTTAAAATCTCACTTAAGTCCATTTAAAAACTTGGAGGACTTTGTTTCTTGATGTTTTAGGGAGAGTTAATAGAAAATAAATTGTGTTGATTTAGATTCTTTGGTGGAATTCAATGGTTTTACAAAGCACAATAATAAAAAAAATTTTAGTCGACACATCTTTTGGGTAATGATACTGCTGTGGTTCATAAGTGATTATTTGGTGTTTCTGCCATTTAACTGAATCAGGACATAAAAGATAATTTAAAAGTAATGCTGTTGAAGTGGTTCTTCAGTTAAATGGTTAAGGCAGTCACATTAAGATGCTTTGGATTTCAGGGTCTCCTGTTAATTTTGATCTTTTGACCGCTGTTAAAAATGGTGTTGGTGAAAGGGATTTGGTATCAAACTAACAGGAGTATTGCAAAAATGAAATCTGAATGCTAGGCAGTTGTTTTGATGTTAAACTATTAGCAGGCCTTAACAAAGTATGCTTGCATCATTATTGTTGAGAGAGTGTCTTGTGCTGGTCGCTGAAGTTATGGAGCATACGTTCATTGAAAGGGAACACAGCAGATTGAATTAGCTTACATTCCCTGGTCTCCTTGACTTGAGGGTTAATTTAAGTTCTAGTTTGTGTTCCTATTTGGAATCCTGATAGTATTTGCACATAGAGTTCAGTTAACGAATTGGTATTTTAAAAGGGAACAATATTATTTGTTTGAGAACAATGACTTTACTGTGATTTGCTACAACCTATGATGTAATTTTAAACATCAGATCATTAGCAAAGTAACTTACCTCATAAATTGAAGCTATAACATAAATTTTTAGACAATTACTTGCTGAATTTTTCAAGCAAAATTCTTCAGATTAATGAAGAGTGAATTCAGGAATTTATTTGTTTGACTTGAAAGCGTGCCAAATTTGTCATTTTGATACTAACTTTAACCACTTTAGCTTGTGTTTTGGAAGGGGGAGAATATCTATAAATTAAAAGAAAATTGATGTGTATTTGCACAAAACTACTGTAACTTCAGTTAAACTGGTTTTGCGAGTGACTGAAGCTTTTTTGCATACCTTGTATTTATTACACTGCAAATGATATAATTAATCCAACAAAGTGTATAGAATAATTAATAGTTTTACCATTTATTTTTGTATTTGTTGGCATATTTTTACCTGTAGTTGTGATGTTTGCAATTTTTACATATGTAATTTTCAGCAATTGCGTTTAAACTTCAATAAAGTTTATATGTTTCACCAATTAAAGTAGTCCACTTCAATTCAACATTATTCAGTTCTGGATTCTGAAATAAAATATCCCTTTTATTTCAGGGAAAGAAGGAAGATCTTGATCCTTCTAGATAAATGCATTAGTTGATTGATGGTTAATGTCCTCAAGAGCTTCTTCGTGTACTATTTCATCTTCATCCTATAGGTATATTCTTTTCTAGAGCATCAAGATTGCAAAAGTTCGATTGAAAAGAAGTAACTTGAGGCTTGTAAGTAAAACAAGGTATTTAAATGTGAAAACAAGGGCCTGTCAATTTGCTGGAATGTGAATGATGGGAATTCTTTTAAAGGAAAAGGGCATGAGAGAATGAAATTTATGTTTGAAGATCACTGCTGATATACGTAGTAAATGTTGAGGCACCATATGTTTTGTTTATTGTGTACAGCAGGTACATGTAAAATGGTCAACATTTGTTCCATCTACTTCTTTCTATCCAATCAGCTTATCTAGTTTCTCTTCAACCCATCTATGCTGAAAGCCTTCTTGTGCAAATAATTTCCATATTTTTATCACACTGAGTAAAAAAATTACTCCTGAATTCTTGTGGATTCTGTAGTGATTCACTTAAATTTATAACCTCTGGTTTTGTATTCTTTAATTCCTACTATTAGCTCTACTATTTTAGGAACATGAAACTTAGAAGCAGAGATAGCCATTTGGCCCTTCGAGCCTTCTCTGTCATTCAGTAAGATTTGATTGTGGTCTCCACATTCTTGGCTGCATCCAAGAACTTCAGATTCCTTTTTCAATCAAGAACTGTCCAGCCTTATTAATGATCCAGCTTCCATTGTTTAAGGGGAAGAGAATGCTTGGACACTGAGCACCCTGAGAGAAAGAAATCCTCTTAGGAGGGAAACATTTTAGTGTTAAACTGTGCACCTTGGTTCTATTTTCTGCCACAACAGGAAGCATCTTCTCTATATCCACCCTATCAAATCCTCTCAGGATTTTACATGTTCCAATAAGATTACCTCTCAATGTCCTAAACGCTGATGTATAAATGCCCAAATTGTTCAATTTTCTCTATTTTCTCTGTCTATCCTATCAAAACCTTTCATCATCCTGAAGATCTCTTGGGTAATTTCCTCACCCTCCCTCCTTTTTCCATTATTACAAAAATAAACACTCTGTTTACCCTTACAGGTAGTTCTCCTGTAACACAGTAGTTGTGTTCTTGTGCGACCTCACGCTATAGAAAATTGCATTATAGGGAAATTGCTATAGAAAATCACTATGCAGTAGAAAGTTTGCATTATCCAAGCAGAGTCCACTATTCGTCAATTGTGTTACAGCCAATCCACGTTGATGAAGCATGCATCGTAGCAGAAATATGTGTACTTGCATGGTATATTCTATTCGTTCTGGTAACACCTTGTGAATCTTTTATCCACCACCTTCAATGTGGCAGAAGTGATGAGGAGATGGAATATAGACCTAATAGCATAATTCAGAAATGAATCTGGGTATAGAGGCACCTGAGGGCATACGTGCATTGATTTTTGACGGTAGCAGAACATATGGGATTTGGGCTTCATAAATAGAAGCTCTGATACAAAAGTAGGGAAGCTTCAAGTAGAGAACTGTGTTTAGTTTTTGACACCTCCTTAGAGCAAAGGAAAATTTGGTAGATTTGATACAAGTACATAAGGTATGACAAGGTTAGATATGGGGGAAAAAAGAACTTCCCATTATCTGATGTTCCGTGGATAAAAGGACACCAGATTTAAGGTTTGAGATGCAGTTAGGAATGAGAGAACAATTTTTATGGAGAGAGTGATAATGACCTGGAACTTGCTATCCATGAGGATGGCAAATGCAAAAATAATTTCAAAAGGAAATTGTGCAGGCATTCATTGGACACAGACTTGTATAACCACAGGAAATGGGATTGACTAGATTGTTCTATGGGAAGCTGGAAAGCACTCGAGCTGAATGGTTCCTTCTGCACAATGATTAACTTTGTAATTTGTGTCTTTATTGTTTCTACCTCTGCCTGTGACAGACCAATGTTTAAGACCGTCAGACATAGAAGCAGAGTTTGGCCCATCGAGTCTGCTGTATACCATTCAGTCACGGCTGATATGTTTTTCAACCCTGTTCTCCTGCCTTCTCCTTTAACCCTTCATTCCTTTAAGAACCTACTCTTTCTGTCTTAAGTATACTTAATGACTTGGCCTCTAAAGCCTTCTGTAGTAATAAGTTCCACAGATTCACCAGTAATTCATCCTCATCTCTGTTCAAAAAATCGTCCCTTCACTCTGAAGCTGTCCCCTCGACTCCTAATCTCTCCTACTGATGGGAATCATCTCCATGTCCACTCTATCCAGGCCTCTCAGTATTCTGTAAGTTTCAATGAGCTTCTCCTCTCATCCTTCTAAACGCCATCAAGAACAGACCCAGAGTCTCTAACCTCTCCTTGAGCTCATTCTTGTAAATCTCTTCTGGACCCCCTCCAACGCCAGCACGTCCTTCATTAGATATTGCTTTCCTTTATATTTTCTTGTAAAACTCTGACAATGTGTTTGTATAATCACTGTCATTCTGTTTTTTCCCCTCTGTCATTTTTAAAGCACTTTCAACACTCAGTTTTTATTATTTCTTTACAGCATTATTTAAGCTTTTTAAAGAATCTAATACTATTCTTAAATTCTCTGCAAAACCTCCAGTGTATCATCTTGCTGAGATTTTTTTGAGATCCGTGTAATTGTCTTTATTATTTTGAATTGTTTCTTTACATGGTTAACACTCATCATTTTTCACTTTCTTAATCCTTATCCAATCAACCTTAGCCAGCCCTCTACTCGTACCAATGTAATTGGCCTTCGTTAATTTGTTAATTAAATTTATCTCATTACACGAAATAGCATCTAAAATAACTTTATCACTTGTTGGTTCCATAATGTATTGTTTTAAAAAGCAATTGCAAAAACATTGTACTAAAACAACCTTTGTCAATTTGATTTATTTAGTCCATATGAAAATTCAAGTTTTACAAGATTTTTACATTGCGTTTGTTTGAAGTCACAATTGTTTAGTGCTCTGTCCATTGGTGTAACTAGGAAGGAGGTTCATGATATTATTCCTTGAGAATGTGGATTCTGAAAGAATAACTTATTCCCTGTCCTCAGTTTGTATTTTGTCTCAACTATTCAGCTCCTGACATTATCACAGCCTTGGTCCAAACATGGACTAACGAGCTGAAGTCCAGAAGTGAGGTGATGGTGACAGTGACTGCCCTTGACATCAAGATTGCATTTGACCAAGTTTGTCATGAACTAGCAAAGTGGGAGTCAAGGGCAGCTGGAGAAAACCCTCCACTGGTTGGAACATCTCTGCAGGAGTGCCAGCCATTTTCATCTGCTTCGTCAAAGAGTTTTCCTCCATTGTCAAGATCAGAAGAGGGGGATGTGTGATCAATGTTTAGAAATATTTATGACTCCTCAGGTACTGAAGAATCCTGTTGATATGCAGCAAAAAAAATGGGAATCTAAGTCAGTCTGATAAATGACTGGATATTTACAGCAGGCAAGAGCCAGGCAATGATCGCCTGCAGCAACAGGGAACTAATTGTTCTTCATGTGCATTAACTTTATCATTGAATCCCCCACTATCAACATCCAGGGATTACCACTAGCTCAAAACTGAACTGAACTAGCCATTTCAAGACAGTGACTATAAGAGCGGGTCAGTGTCTAGGAATCTTGCAGTTGGTGACTCATCACCTATCTCCCCAAAGTCTGTCATCCAAGGCACAGGTCATGAGTGTAAAAGAATATTCTCCACCTGCCTGAATGGGTATAGCTCAAATAGCGCTGAAGAATCTCAATGGCATGCAGGTTAGAGTGGTCTGCTTGACTGGCATCACCTCCACCATCTTCACTATTCCCTCCTTTCACTACTGACACTGTGGTGCAGTGTGTAATCACCCACAAGATGCTTTGCAGTAACTCACCAAGCCGTCATGCACAGCATCTTTCAAATTCTCAACCTCTATTACTGGAAGGACAAGGGCAGCAGATGCATCGGAAATCATGATCTGCAAGATCCCTTCTAAGCCGTATCCCATCCTGGCTGGGAACAGTATTACCATTCTTTCACTTGCTAAAATCCCTTTCTAACATCTGTGTGGGTTGGATATTGAAGTCGTTGACATTGAGGTATAGAGTCATACAGCACTGAAATGGACCCTTTGGTCCAACCAGTCCATGCCAACCATAATCCCAAACTAAACAAGTCCCACTTGCCTGCACTTCAGCCATATCCCTCCAAACATTGCTTATTCATGTATTTATCTAAATGTCTTCTAAACATACTAACTGTACCCGCATCCACCACTTCCTCTGGAAGTTCATTCCACACATGAACCCCTCTATTTTAAAATAAAATTGCCCCCATCTCTTTTTCTTTTTAAATCTTTCTCTTCTCATCTTAAAAATATACTTCCTAGTCTTGACATCTGTTATGCTACAGAAAAAACGACTGCCATTCACCCCTCATGATTTTATAAATCTCAGCCCTCAACCTCCTACACTCGTGATAAAAGTCCCAGCCTATCCACCTGTCCTTCTAACTCAAACCCTTCATTCCCAGCAACATCTTGGTAAATCTCTTCTGATTCCGATAACAGGGAAACCAGAACTGCACACACTATTCCAGATGAGGCTTCACTAACATCCTGTACAACCTCATGACATCCCAACTCCTATTCTCAAATAGAAACATAGGAGTAGGAGGAGACCATTCAGCCCTTTGAGTCTACCCCCCCATTCTTCATGGTCATGGCTGATTTGTCCATAACAATAGCCTAATCCTGCTTTCTCCCCATAACCTTTAATCCCATTCACCCCAAGTGCTGTATCCAGTCACCTCTTTATATTCAGTGTTTTGGCATCAACTACTTCCTGTGGTAATGAATTCCACAGGCTCACCACTCTTTGGGTGAAGAAATGCCTCCTCATCATTGATCTAAA